CAGGCAATAAAACTGGTTTCAACTTGCAACAAATCAGATGTTGGTGCATGTAAGTTGTAGTGTTGTTTTTACAAAGGGAACCAAGTAAATGAAACTTTAACATCTAGTGTTTTCTACTATGTACAAGTTGTACAACCCCAAAAATGTAAACAACACTTTGATTTGATTTTAGTTCCATTAATCCATATTTTTTATCCATATTATCAATCCATATTTAATTTGATTTTAGTTCCATAAATCCATATAATTTAGTTCCATAAATTTGAGTTTAGATCCATAAATTTATTAAAATCTGCAACTGTCCTACATGCACAAATGCCATCCAATGTAATGACCTAGATGATAACAGGAAGCAGTTTTGTTTCTTCAAGGCCTTTGATCAAACAGAAAACACATTTGAAGGTCTTCATGTTCCAACAAATTGCTTTCTGGACTACATCATACAAAAATTACGAAAATTGTTTTTTAGGTTGTGCATTTACTACAGCTTGAAATTTGCCAATCGTGAACTTTCCAACACTAAAAAGAAGAACGGCAGCACATCTTTAACCATGCGCACTGGACAATATGCTGTGTTGCCAAATCAATTAAGCAATATAACTTCTACAAGTTATATTGCTTAAAATCTTTTACACCAAAGTACATAAGAACTGAACTGTAAGATGCAAGGCTGGTGTTAAATCTAATGTTGATGGTAATACACAGGAGAAATTACTAAGATGTTGCTACACTGAGTAAATATATACCAGGCAAGCTGAAAAATCAACTTTACCACAGTAAGAATGCAGCCGGCAACCCCTGGTTTACAAGACCAATGCATTCCAGACTGAGCTACACAGTTTGAATGTACAATATTTTATTATTTTGGAGCTTAACTAGTCTCGCTCCTTCACTGAGATGGTAAACCTAACAATGCTGATGGTAATTGATAACAGGTGAAATCATTAATTAAGATGGTGCTTGCTGAGTAAATCTACATGAGATTGGTGTGTTGCAATTTTGGGTCATGAACGGTAACTTCTGGCAAGTTAGTCTGCTCCACCATCAATTGCTTGATACAGATGTGAACAAATATCGTACTCATTACTGTTACCAGCAATCAAAGTCTAATATCAAAGTTACAAATTATAAACCAGTTCTGGTGAAAATGGATTCTACTCGCGCAGTTTACTTAGTTTAGTCCAAAAACGTTTTTGTTAATTAAGAAAAGAAGCCCAATACAAAGACATCACATCCCCTTTCACTGATCAGGTATATAATTTAGTACGAATAGTAGTACGAATTATAAGGATATTCACAGTATATAATATGCGCCTAAAATTAAAAAAATTCAACCTACTGCGTTCTAAAAACAAGACATGACGCATTATTCTTCAAGTTAAGTGGAATAATAGTTGCAATAGTTTCAAACTACACTCAGAAAAACAACATAATGCGTATTATATCCATTGGTGCCAAAACAGCACATACAGTTTGCAATGCGTTTAAAATCACAATTTTAGCATCATTCAATACGCTTTTATTATAATAAAATGAATAATCTACCTTTCTTTTGTACGTCCTGAAAATTTCAATAAAATCCACCATAAAATAACGACGATATACCCATTTAAAGTTATGAAATACAAGTTTCGCCATATTAGTTTATAATGTTTTGGACCAGAGTTGGTTGCTTTCAACATGGCGGCCAAGATCCGGAAGTAACATGTGCCGGCACAAAAACTTCAAACGTTCCGACTCGAGTGAAGCTTCTGCCACAGAATAAAGATCAGTACCAGAAGGGCCACTCAGCGGTGCAACGTGTCACCATTTTTCTATGCAAAAATATGCAATTGACTGGCCAGGAAGATGGCGGCCAGCCAATACAGCGCGTTTATTGGCCAGAAAATGTAATCGACTGGCTAGGAAGATGGCGGCCATGGTGACAGAAACTTCAAAGCTTCCGACGTAAGTGGCCCTTCTGTGTGCCTTATTCTGTGCTTCTGCTCTATTTCTATTTTGTGGACACAAGTACACGCAATAGCGTTGCAATCTCAAGATGAGAAGGTAACAGTTCTAAGGGGCCGATTACATGGAGCATTTTCACCCCCGGGGTTGAACTCAGCCCTGTTTACCGGGTTGAAATTTCAGCCCTGTCTGTAATACAAAACTCTATCAAAATCAAACGCGCGATTACATGACAAAATTTTCAACCCAGGGCTCGAGTTCAACCCCGGGGTTGAAATTTCAACCCTGCTTCAGCTAGCAGGGTTGAAATTTCAACCCCGGGGCTGAACTCAGCCCTGGGTTGAAAATTTTGTCATGTAATTGTTTCAACCCAGGGCTGAAATTATAATGAGTTATTCGAGCATGCGTGGTATAGTGACTATTTATTACAAGAAAACAAAATAAAGGCTTTTTTACTTCCGCGAATCGATGCCGAGAACGTATAGTATAACGTTTTAACCCCGGGGTTGAAATCGTCCATGTAATCGCAAAAAATTTCAACCCGGTTAACAGGGCTGAGTTCAACCCCGGGGTTGAAAATGCTTCATGTAATCGGCCCCTAAAGCCCCTCATACTGTATCATCGGGCGCCCGAAGCACTGCCAAAAATCGTCGCTCTGAATCCTATCAGTTCAATTTTATACAGCAATAGTCTCGTTTGCGCTCGTGGGATTTTATCCTAGACATACGCATGTGCAGAACACATCCTAAGTTCTATTCACGTGTTTATTCAATTTAAATAGCTCTTTGAATTAACATGATCATTAATGATAATATGTAAACTACAACACTATAATTGACCTCCGCTTATGGAGATTTTAATTTTGAATTAAAACTAATTAATTCCCAACAATAGTTCTTTGCCTACAATTTCAATTTGACGTGTCACCAACGTGTCACCAACATGTCACTATACATGTCACCAAAATAATTGTGCTTCATATATAGTAAATCAACGTGCCACCAACGTGTCACCAAAATTTTATATAAAGTAGATCCATCGTCTCGTTCCATCCAGTTTAACAGCCGTGTGGAAATGTTTTGCCCCGTTGGCATGATCTTCTATGCATCAGGCCCACTGGAGAACCTTCTTGCTACTTTTCCCGTTATTGAACGCCTCTAGTCTAGTACAATGTTGGAAAATGCCAGACAATTCGGGAACTTATCTAAATTTGCCTTTGCGCAAGTTATGAGTCGGTTCCCACGTTCACTAAGTCATGAATTAAAGTCTATGTCATTCGATTCTTTGCTAAAATGCGCGCTAGTTTCACTGCTCTCCATTATATCGTAATGTATATAATATTAAATGTAAACAATGTTCAAACTTATGAGAAGTACTTTGAAAATTCCCGCCAAAGACTAGCGGAAGTACATTAGGCAAACCCTAATTCAAATAGCCAATCACATGCGCAGTTTTCAATAGGAAGTTTGCACTTTGTAATGAAATTAACTAGGTCATAATATATTTTGCCAAACTACAAATTAAAGTGGTAAAAGAGTTAAAAGCGAGCTATAACCGAGAGTAATGTATGGGAAAACTCCGTAATTTTTCCCATCCAAATTCATACAATCCTAGACATAAATTATTGGCAAAAGGCTAAAAACTAAGAAAATTCATTGAATTTCACCCCCTTCCCCTAATATCAATGTTCATGGGTGTATTCGAAGCCAGATAACTTGGCAAAACATTGATATTGGGGGAAGGGGGCATCATTTGGACAAATATGTCTTCCAATTATATTTTGAAGTAATAAACTAGTTTTTGCCACTTTTTTGTCCAGGATTGTAGATATATATATTTTCTTGTACTGCTTTATATTGCCACACCGTCCACGCGTGCTTTCTCAGTGACAAGTCTATAAGTTGAAATCTGATCCAACTTGCTTGAATTGTAACTCGACACTAGATTATAGAGTAGAACTCACATCACGATAAATATTAATTTTTAATTGCAGTTCTCTCCACGATTTCTTTGAAGATTCAATGGATATTGTTTATATTTATATTTATAGAGCGATCTAATTAATTGTGACTGACAATATGTACTCACTCCCCCGACCCTAGTTAACAATATTCTATATTACCCAAAATCTGAGTGTGACGTCATAAGTACATTCCGGGGTAATTTTGCTCCAGCAGGGAAAGAGCGAATACCCTGGGAACGAGGTTGTGCAGAAACTCCTGCAATAGATACAACCGCTAATGAGGACAATTTAAATAAACATGAGAGTTCAGATTTCGTTGGGGTAGAAAAAAAAAATAAAACGGCTATATCTCGGAGACGTACGTCTGGGCACAAGCATAGAAAAATATTAAAGTGTGCATGGAGTAAAAAGGCACTTCCCCAACGTTTATTCAAATTTTTAATAGCAAACGAAAAGGCACAATTGCTGTCCGAGTTAACATTAACGAGTTAACAAAACTCAGCAACTGAACTGCTAAGCAAATATTTTTCGGACAATAACAATTTTTTATGAAAAGCTGAGCAATTTAATAAAGAGCGCGGCAATGGTTCGACCACGGGTTCAATATAAGAAGCATATAAAACAGCACTGGAATAACTGTCTTAAAGAAGCAAAACGTCGGTTCAGTTATGGCTGCGAGGGCAAAATTGGAAAAAAAGAGGGATCCTCGAGGGCCTCAGAAAACGTTTGTGATAGACAATATGAGAAAGCCAAGACTGCATATAGGAAGGCACAACGAAGAGCTGTTTGGGGAATACGAAAAAAAAGAATTCGATGACATAGCCAATTCTATAGAGTTAGATAACGAGACGTTTTGGAAACTGTTCAACACCAAAGTACGTAGGAAAAAGAAAAAAGGTGGTGGCTTTTGAGGTAGATAATGTTGTGCTTACGAACCCCAAAATAGTCGCAGATCTCTGGGCAAACTATTATGAGAAGTTATCTACCCCTCCGGAACATGTGAACAAAAAAGGCATGAAACGTAAAGTTGATGAAATTTTAAAGAACTCGGAGAGCATGTATGACTATACATTTAATTCTTCTATAACAGCGGAAGAGATCACTTCAGTAATTAATACTCTTCCGGAGGGAAAATCACCCGGTATAGATGGAATTACATATGAACATATTAAATATGGTGGTGAAATTATCGTAGAACTGCTACTGAAATTGTTTAGTTATGTTATCGAGCTTGAAGAGATTCCAAAGTTCTTCAAAATGGCGATTAAGATCCCTATCCCTAAAGGCAATAAAACTTCACGAACATATGACGATCACAGAGGAATCAGCTTGTTGCCTTAAGTGCTCGAGAGAATTGTATTATCACGACTACAGAAGGAAGAAAAGTACACTTACCAACCTCTTCAGGGTGGTTACCAAAGAGAACAGGACGCTCTAACAACGTGTTTCGTCATCGATGATCACGAAGTAGTAAATCATTGTCGCGAAAAAAAGTTTACGTAGCGTACATCGATATTACAAAAGCGTTTGATACCATGTGGATTGATGCAATGTTATTTAAGCTGCACGACAACAAAGGAATTGCGGGGAAAACATGGAGGCTTATTAAAAATTGGTATATAGACATGAAAGAGTTTGTGTTTATCGGAGGAAAAGAATCACGCACTTACAATCTTCATCAGGGTACACGTGAAGGGGGAGTGCTTAGTCAGCTATCACCTTAGCTCTTTCTTGTCTTTATCGACGAACTAATTGAGGAGCTAAAAAAACACCAAAGCAGGAATTTTCCTAGGTTCACTATATTTTGGCTCACCAATGTTCGCAGATGATTTAACAATGGTATCGCGCCTGAAATCCGGGTTAGACAGGATGTTAAAGACTGCATGGGAATATAGCCAAAAATGTAGATTTAATTGTAGTGTTACGAATTGAAAACCGTTATGCTAATATTTGGAGAAAGCCGCCAGCAAGAACATGAAGCAAACAATAGGTCGAGATCTTGGAAACTGGGTTCTCGGATTTTATCTAAAAGGGGGCGTGGTCAAATCTCGGAAAACTTTGGCTTGCAAATAAAGATAGTAAGGAAATCGTTTTAAAAGCAACATTTGGGGGCAGAGAAGCCTGCTTTATGTTGATGGCTGGTGGTACTCGCTAGTCGCTACGGAGGACTAAATCCTATGATTTCGTCTAATTTATGGCGTAAGACTAATTGCATTCCAAATTTCCCGTATGGATTAGAGCTCTGGCAACTGAAAATGAGAGATTATATTGAGTTATAAAAGATCCAAAGTATCATGGTTAGGATCATGCAGGGGTTATTACCAGGAACGTCTGGGTCTGCAGCACGGGGACGTTAGGGCTTGCTTTCGATCGAAGCTGAGATAGATAAGCGAAAGCTGTACTTTTTGGGAAGATTGCTGAACATGGTTGCCGGTGCACCATGCCGCCGTGTCTTCTTCATCAGGTTGTTAAGATGGAAGTGGAACTATGGCAAAAATTAAATTAACCGGGTTTGTACCAGACATTGTGGAAATTCTCGTAAAATACGTCCTTTTGGAAGTTTTAATAATTTACATTCTTACAAATAATTTCTCTACAAAAACTCTGTGGAAAAAGACTGTCAATAAACATGTTCGAGAGCAATATGATCGTACTTGGCGGGAAAAGATCAGTAAGAACAATCAACTATATCTCTACTCAAAGGTTCATACAAAGAATGAAGTTTGTCATTGGTGGATAATGGAAAATGAGCTTGACCTATTGTGGGACTGGGTATACGATAATCTTCCCTTAGAGTTTGCTGTTCATTTAGCAATATTATCGGACACGGATTTTATGCTTACTCTTTTAGGCTTACAATCAGAAACGTTATGCTTTGGTATAGAACTGTGGACGTTCTTTTGTTGCAATCTGCATGTTATATTTCATCTTGTTTTCGAACTAGTGTTTTCCAACAAAAGTGCATTGGAAGAGAGTGATTGTCAAAGCGATTTATAATACGGAAAAAGATATGTGGAGAGAAAAAAATGTATCATCTTGTGTTATGGATTGATATTTGCGAGTTCATCAAGAGCTAAGCGTCTCGTGTTGGTACAACCTTCTTCAACGATACCCTACAATTAGTACATTCGTGATGACAGTAATAAGGTTGTTATGCAACTCGTTTTCAGTAAAAGGGACAAAGTTTAATTCTCGCGTGGTGGTCTATGAGTGTTATGATTGTGGCGTTACTCGCGGAGATCCGGTTGCTCATGCGGTCCTGAGGTGTAATGCTAACATGAATTAAGAGAGAACTTTGGGGGTGGTTACTGGACAACATGTCTTTGGATTTATGTGGAAATTTTAGCCAACTTGATGACGAAGAGTTTCTTGATGTTGTTTTTGGTCAGCATACTGCGTTAAGACAGGAACCTTTAGACGATTTTAGAGTACATTCTGCTTATATTTTACATCGAACTATTGAATTGTCAAAATTGATTGCATTCTAAGGGACTTATCTTCATATTGTGTAAATATTACTTAGTTATATTTTGGATTGTAAGCCCCGAAGGCTTTTGACAATCTTTGAATTAATAGAATGTTGTATAAATTGTACCATGACATGGGAATTAAGGGGAAATGTCTAAGACCCACACATCAATGGTATAGTGGGAATGAGGGAAATGGTTCGTATTGGTAACTGTTTCTCTAGGTGCTACGATCTTTCGCAAGGAACTCGACAGGGTGGCATTTTATCTCCGTGGCTGTTTACAGTCTTTGTGAATGATTTAGTAACATTATTGCATGCAGCTAAGGTTGGGATTGTTGTTTATGGAATGTATTATGGTTCGCCAATGTATGTTGATGACCATACAATGATTTCTCGTTTAAAATATGGCTTAGATTCAATGCTGAATTTATTAGTTGAGTATGGCTTAACATGGAGAATAGTATTCAATCAGACAAAAACCATTACAATGTTTTTTGCAAATTATCGTGTATTTAAACCGAAAATGTTATATGGCAGTGAATTATGGCAACTTGACACATGCCATGATGTTGGAAAAATGTCAAAATATTTTTGTACGTGTGTGAAGAAATGTCTTTTGGAGTATGTAATTTAGTACCTTTTGGCGTATGTGATTTTAGCCGCATGGCGAGAGAGACAATTGTTGTGTTAGTTTATATTACATTAAAGATTTTTATCAACTCGTGTTGTTGTCAACACAATCTGCATTTTTGATCTGTATTTCTACCATTTAAACAATGGAGAAATATTGTAGATTCAGAGTGTTGTGGGTAAGCCAGGAGCTGGCTCTCAATTTCTGGGGGCACTTGAGAAAGAATGTAACAGAGGGGTTGGGATGATTTTGACTTTCGTGCTAGCAGCTAGTTTTCCTTTCCAGCTCAGAAAAATTGGGATCGAACGGAACGTTCTTCTACACTGTAAAGGTATTATACTTGTGCTCAATTTTGTGAGTCTTTAAAGTTCTGTATAGGGTTAGTTCAGCCGTCTGCCATCTAGCCTAGCTTCTAACAATGAGGTTATTTATTTTGGGCCAGAAACAATCTATTTTCATACAAAAATTGACAAAATTTTCATACAAAAGGTGTATGGTATTGTAATGCATATGATTTTATTGACACAGCCCTGCTGTCTTTGTTTAGTATACATTCAATCATGGAATATTACAAATTCATAATTTTGATTGATTCCTCAACCATTGATATAATCCATGGTAAAGAAAAATACAAAACAAAATTACAAATCTCGCACTATTTGTGGATATTTTTATCTAAATTAATATGCAAAAATATAAAATTAACCTCAGCATATAGTAAGAAATTAGGCTACGCCTTTGTTGACTTTGTTGCCTTTGATATGAAGTTGGCTTTGTTGGCTTGGATTTCAATTTTATTTCCGAGTGGGGGTGCACTGCCTCCCCCCCCCCAAGGCCCCCCCCCCTCAGCTACGGTCCTGGTTGTGGGTTTAACTGGTCAAAATGAAGAGAATACATCCATTTTGATACACATGTCTCGTATCCCTGATTGGCCCAGGAGCCTTGTTCTCGTGAATATTTAGCAGTTAATAGCGAATAGCCTTTTGTCTTGTTTAATAAGATTGAATACTTCCAGGCCAAGGAAGTATTTGTGATAAAATTACCAAACAGGTAGATTGGGAGATAAGACCTAAAGGGGTACTGAACAAATGTAAATTTGCATGAACAGTTCATTAGTAAGTAGTCGGTAGGCAAGACAAAAAGCAAAGAAGATAGTAATTAAATTTTGCAGCTTTAATTTGACTAGTATTAGTATTCACAAGTTTACTTCTCAAAGCATCTCTGAATACAATATCTTTGAATACAAGTAAGCTGCCAACTATTACATTGGAAGGTCGACAACAAAGACAGTTCACAAGGAAATTCTCTGCCATGAGTGCTGCAATGTTCTTGGCTGTTAATTTAGCATTCTGTTTTCCCAACTCCTGCAATTAAAATATTAGGGTAATCTAATGTGTCTTCATTATTCACAGAACTTGATGACCACATGGGGTCATCCATTTCAAGTTCAAATGTGAGGGAGTTAAAATTTTTTCAGTTATCGTCTGCCACACACAAATTAATAAAAGTTTTATATAACTCAAATATAAAAGTAGGTACGCGACCGCGTACATGTATCTGCGAAAAAACTTGATTCACATTTTGTATTTTCTTGAAAGAAACTGAATAATGAAGATGACATGGGACAATTGAAATATTTCATCACTTATTATAATGGCAGATAAGATTTAAAACAGGGCTGTAGACAGTGGGGAGTGCAGCAGGGCAAGTACAACCCCACCCCCGCCACCCCCGCACCGAGAAAATTTAACTAACTTTATAATGTGATTATGATTGTAACAGATAATTATGCATTCAGGAAATAAAAATTTCATGCAAACAATATTCAAAGTATCTATGCAGCCAGCTATTTAGTAAACTGTCACCTGTCAATTCAATCCATACTCATCAAATTTTCAAAACTTTATTGTAATCATATGAAGCAAAAGTTATGTCAATTGTTGTTTACACTTGCCAATGTTAACTGTTGAGTAACATACACAAAATATTTGGTGAACATGTCGAAGACCACTGAATAATTGAGAATGTTTTGAAGATCATAAGTGTAGTGTATAATTAAATTCCAGTTTTGTGCACAGTTAATGATATACCACACTGTTCGGTTTAACACGTACGGCACATTCACACAAAAACAATCGTGTTGTGGGAGATTATCGGTTTGAATAGAAGGTATCACAAGTTTAGCTTTGTACATTGTGTGCCATTGATCAAATCCACCATATAATATATGATTACTCATTGTAGCTGTTAAGTTATTTTCCATACTAATGAATTTAGGTAAGATTGTCTTGCATGTTGGTTGTTCTGACAAAATTATCCAGCCAATATCCAGTACATTTATTCTTTATTCTTGTATTAATCTCTAAAGAAAAATATTTATGTTAGAAAGCAAAATGACAATGTAATGAGGCTCGGGAGGGTGAGGATTCTTTTATTTGAAAATGTTTGTAAAAATTTTGTTTAATTATTTCTAATGTGTAAAACCAAAATGTATAAGTATTTTAACTAATAACATCTTCAACCTTTGCTCCAACACTACATTTGATGACAGCTTTATAGTTGGACTGTTGTTTTGAACAGAGTTGTGGAGTCAATATACAGAAATACAGGACCAGGATTTAATTCAATATCTCCTGAGAATGTTTTCACTGTTTAAAATATTACAGAAGTCACAGAAGGATTGTTTTTAATACTGTATAAATCTTTTTGCAAACTATATGTTGACAAATAGCTTAAAATATCCTCGAAAATATCCAATATTTTAACAGTGTAATATATTAATAAAAAAAATTCCAGAGTGCATTCCATGTAAACTCTACGCCGAAGATACGGCAATATTTACTATAGATAGTATAGTAAATATTTGCCAAACTGGCGAACTCATGTATTATAAAACTTATAAAATATGTGGGACATACATTTGCACAAATTTGGTATTTAAATATATAATGTGTGGTATTTGATTACTTACCAGATGAGGATAAGATTCCATGTTGATAAATAACGTCGGAATAATATCGCAAGTTCATTCAAATTGGCTGTCTTCAATTCAAGATAAATTGATAAAAATATCAAGATATTTTTGAAAGAATATAAAACACGATTTATACACGAGGCCTGACGAGGCTAAAGTATGCCCGTTCGCAGATTAGATCAGCGGGCACGATGTAAACAATTGATGTAAACGAATCGCTGATTGGCTTAAATTATATAAGATTGGCTTAAATTATATAAGCTCGTCGCTGAATGGCTACGTGCTAACATACGGTACGGTCACGTTTGCGATAGCATATATATCTGCTTGGCAGATACAAAAATTATCCCATCACTTTAGTAATAAACAAACACTGTATGAACCACGATTTAAGTTTTGACAGTCATGATAAATTAGGTCATATTAATGTAAAATTTACCTGTTTTAATTAATACAGCAGTAAATATCGCCGTTAATTGTACCGCCTAACTTGTTCAGTTGGTCAAGCTGCTTTGTATTTTGAATCAGAATTCCTAACTAAATGATCCAACACTTGAATATGATCTAATCCTTGTCATTTTGGCCGCCTCATTTTGGCCTGGCGTTCACATCTTTAGTCCTCCAACAGTCGCACTCATTATTACGACGCAAAACTTCAAATGTACTGCGATTTCAGGGTTAAAAACTTCAAATTTACTTCTTGAAGCATTCATGTCATACATTCCTTTCCTGAAATAAGGTTTGTTTCGGTCCAAGAGAAGAGAAAATAAGCGTTTTAAATCGAAAACTATACATTCTGTAATAGACATCTACAGTATTCACTCAAGTGGGGCCATCCAACTTGGCAGCCGTCAGCTCACTTCCGGCTTCTCTCTGAACACAGATACACACAAACTGTACGAGGTTGACTTTATTTAACCGCGCTAGCCTCAACAACCGTGGGCAGGCTGATTTCCATGAGGGGCGTGACATATAAAATTAACTATTTACAAGAAATAAAGAAATATGAAAAACAAAATTAGACTTAAATTGCAGAAAAGGGAACTTACGATGATTTTATGGAGAAAAGGAAAATACGTATACGGTGATTTTTAATGCACGATCATACACAGGCCAGTTGCAACTCATTCTTTGTTTACTTAATATCGATTTGAAAGAGCTTTGGGATTCAGCAATGTTTGCCTCATAGGGAAGATGATTCATAACTGCAGGATTCCTTTTGAGCAAGTCATTAATCATGCAGAAATAAGAGCGGGAAAGTTAATTTCCTGTGGGACCCCGGCGTTTATTTACCTTCACTCAGAAAAGAACTGCTTACCACGGGTTCGTTGTTGTTTTTCTGTTAGAAAACTTGCAATCTAGTTGAGAAATACAGGATGAACTTCCACGTATTTCAATTCGTTCAACAGAATAATATGATTATTGAATCATATTATTTTGTCGACGACTTTGGAAAAGTCGAATAAGCAGATCCGTATCCAGACAAGTGCCATGTTTAGTGCTTTTAACGAGCCAAATTGCAAGAGGTCAATTTTATCAGAAACGGAGTCAAGAAGCCATTTGTAGGGAAATGATTCGAGGATCTTACTAATGATTGGTGTGAGAGAAATCGGTCTAAAGTCGGAATCAACACTATCTATTTAAGGCGAAAATTTCTGAATTGGTGTAATATTTGCTCACTTTCACAATGAAGGAACAAATCCTTCACGAACTGATGCGTTAAAAATAGAGCTTGGAAAAATGAAGTTTAGATAACAGCAGTGCCTTTGCGGTGTCGTCGACAGAAATGTAGAATTCAGCGGGAACGCCGTCAACAGAAAGCGGTAGCCAAACTAAACAGGGTAAAAAGGATCCCACAGCGACAAACTTATTTTTGGGGTGCTTTGCAAGGTCTGCCTCTGAGTAAATATACCTTCGAACATTATGAGATAGTGATACTCTTCAACATTGACCGCCACTTTCGAGGATCAAAATGCTGAGTCAAAATATTATGCGATAATATTTTGACCGCGTTTTTTTGCAAAGAGTGTTGACTTTCTTTCGGTAGAATCTAAACATCAGGTCGTTGGCAACAGTCCATGCCGCCTGCCGTTAGAAATTAGAGTTCTTATTTCGGGTATGATCCAAGGTTTATTACTGGAATCGACTTTGATTCGCTTCCGGGGTAAGTGTTCGGTAATGATATTAGTTATAATGGTGGAAAAATACTTGAATTGTTCCGTCACGAAATTCCATAGAGTACAGAGTTAACGAATTGACTTTGCGCAGATGTTCGCTAACGGTTCGACGGCTGATTGTATGGGCGGGGGACTTTTTAACCAGACGTACAGATCGCGAACCATAAAACGAGTTAGCCTGAAGGGCTTTAAAGAACGTTTACTTGTTACTACGAGTGCTATTGTTTAAAATCTATCGGCTTGGTTCAGGGCCTTGTTGCATTTAGTAGCTGAAAACAAATTTCTTTAAAGTATTGCTCTTTTCCATTGGAAACATGACCATGATTAGAAAAGTTTGTTGAACATCACAAATTAAATAGTGTATGCTGGCGTGCATTATATACTCTATCAAGATGTGATGGTTTGGAAACTTAGCAGAGGTCATTATGTTATCTTTTTTCTGAGTTACTTACTTACTTGTAACTTGTAAGTATATTCTAATTCGTGCACGGTGATTGACGGATCAAATTCAAGCAAAGGCCTTCTATTCAGTAGCTTTGAAGTTCGCCGGTCTTCCAGGTCATTGTATCAAAGGATAACTTCCAGTCGAGTTAACTTCTACAGAAAATGCTGAGATGCTAAATCCGAACTTTGCTGTAACTAAAGGTGAAGTAACACAAGTGACAAATCTCTCCAAATTCTCGTTGCACGGTTATAGGAATGTTAATACTATTAATGTTACCAAGCATAACATATTTCGGCATGACATGGTTCTAGATTGAAATGTTTTGATGGACAAAGTGGTGTTATTTGTCACTTAATTTTATTCAACCTCATTAAATCATTTCAAGAAAATCTATTTATTTTCGTAGTACTATGATTAGTCAGTTTATAACAAACATTAAATAGTTTCCCGCGATTACCAAAATCTGATTCAGGCTCAAACTATAAAACTATACCATTTGATCGAAGTGTACTTGATCATCAATGGTTTATCATCTTTAACTCGCTATATCTGATGTGACGACTATGAGGTACAAGTATTACAGACATGGAAAATTCATTCTATTTTAGTCTACATGCAACGAGACTCTCAACTTCCTGTTAGATTGGTGTTTCCGGTTCTTCGGGAAATATTTTTGCATGATGCAAATATATGTGAATAGGTTACCAGAGATGCCTTTTACAAGTTTTACGCTGTTTATTACACTAAAAAAACATAATTTTTTGCATGTATCTAAGACAGGTTAACCTTATTTATTATATAAAGTATAGTGCTTTATAGAGATTTCGAGAACCTCACATGTGAGATTATTCATGATAATCTCACATGTGAAAATTATCGTTTTTCAATTATCGCTTTATATATATATCGCGTTTTTCAATTATCGTTTTTCAATTATCGCTATATAATAAACAGAAAAATACATGGGTGCTTGATATCATTTTCCGGCAACACTCGAAATAAATGTGGTATTTCCAAGTACCCATGTATTATTGTCTATTTAAATTATGTGATATCGAGACGTGTAGCCAGTTCGGTATAATATTTGTGACGAAAATTGTAAACATGCAAGGTATCTACTTGCAATATAACACTGAATTCCTTCTCTCGTGTATTAGGTTTTCTTATTTGATTGAACTTCTAAGTTTATGTACGATGTGCCCAAGTGTTTTGATTTGTAACTCTCTAAACTCGCTAGCTTACCTTTCCAATTCCAGCCTTCATTATTTCTTGATGGAATATTGAACGAAGGAATGTCGAAGGGTTGATCATAAATAGCTCTATCTGCAGAAGGAAATAAAAAAATGTGATTGGAACTCATTTGGGAAGCATAGTTTATATCTTGATACCATTTCCTGTTATTGTGCTAACTATTCATCCATATGCGAGATTGCTGAGGCACGTTATATTCTCACGCGTGCGCCAGCAAAAGGAGAAAATCGCAAACTAAAATTGGCCATGAGAACAACCTTATATACCAGCTTCCTGTGATTTAAAAGCCTCAAAGCAAAAATTATTTGAATATTGCATACTGCTGATATTACTGTGTGACAGTATAGGCATCTGATCTGTGTGCTGATTAATAGTCATAGCCGTACAACATGCATGTATTTATAGCCACAATATAGCTTTGCCTGCTTTAATTGCCTATTCATTTTGTATTTACAGTATAATGTCAATGAAATTCGAACTCATTCTTTAACCTTGCCAAACGAGATAAATCTATTTACGTTAAAAAATCGAGCCAAAACACTGTTGGAAGGAATACAGGTATTCGTCATTTTTCAATATTACACATTATACGCGGAACAGAAGAAACGAATTACGAAGTATAAACTGTATGTATACTCACCAAAGACAAATTTTATCTTAAGTGAATCCATTGTCACATAGCAGGCCAAGTGAAGTGACCTTGCGTTGTAGAGTACTTTTGATCTAATTGCAAACTCTTTATGATACAAATACAGCATGAACGTTTTGGCGTTCGACGAGTAAACAGCATGATTAATAATTACACGTTTGCATAGAAATCCATTCGGAGGTTCTCGGAAGTCGGAAACCACTTTGCAGGCCACGTCACAGGAGGCCCAGTTTCTATTTGCCCGCGCCCGCCTGTGACTTCCTTGCAACAAAAGGATAGCAACGAAAGCCGAAAGGATTGCTTGGCGTTCATTGTGGATGGACGCCTAAATCTGAGTTCCTGAAATATATACATACTAGAAAATACATGCATGCAGCAACCATCGCCTTAATTTCTTGACAGATGAAGTATAAAAACTTCACATAAGGTATTAAGACCATTACAAACAAACATAAAAACACAACTGGTGCGCTAGCTTTATAATGAACGACAACATTCACCAATTTGGATTAAATTGAATGATCGAGTTAAAAACGACTTAAAAATTTAGCAGATATGAATAAAACCGACAACACAAAGTATGTACTGCATGGAATTTTACTACTGAAATGTTTACACTTACCCAAACCGGCACAACAACGTTTAAATTATCAGGGACAAAGACATCAACATCAAAACAATTTAATATTATACAAACTTTGTTTCACGGTTAAAGAGCAACTAATTATGAAACTGCAGGCTTATTTCCAGTTAAAATCGAGAAAAAACCGTGTCGTACGTTTGTAAACTTTTTAACGAAATTTAAAAAAAAATTGCTGTAAAACAGCAAAATACGTTCAAAATACGTCTTTTCAAGCAGAAGTGTAACTTGAGTCGGCATCCTGGCTAGTACAGTCGGAGGTTTTTATCACATTTTGGTAGGTATTTGTATACCTAGTAGGTATTTGTATACCTAGTAGGTATTTGTATACTAGTCAGGATGGCGTGATTGTAGGCTCGGTCCCAGCCGTTCCCTCTTGGGGCTCTCTTTGAGGGAACGGCTGGGACCGAGCCTAGCGTGATTGATGACGAATCGGTTGTAAAAACGCGGACAAATACTTGAACTGTCTGTACCATGAGTGTAGGTAGTACCAATGTAAGAATGCTGTGCTGAGTGGTTATATTATATACCTTAAAAATAAGCAGAAACTCGACGTTTCGAGCGAAGGCCCTTCGTCAAAAGTTAGTAGCAGGGTCGGGGAAAATGCACGGGCTTTTATACTAAGGGTATGAAAGCATCACGTGACAAAAAATAAACCAATTAGATGGATTTAATCATAACAAAGTGTAAACAAAATATGTAAATCGCATTACAGAATATAAATATA